AGCACCTCATTTTTAAAAATTCCACTGCAAATAAATATATCCAAAAAACTATCCTTTAGATTAAGCAGTCACACCCATGACCTCCTTTCAATAAACAAGTTGGAAATCATCGAAAAATTGCACCTTTCAAATAGGACATGTTAAAAACAGAACTAAGTGTAACCAATCCTATCAAGGAGGTCCCAGAAGTAGGAGATTCCCTGTTGTCACTATAAATGACAGTTTCAGGCACTATAGATTCTGCCTAACAGACAACTGGCAGCTGCAAGTTTTAAGTTTGCCCTATTTGCCAGCCAGTGGCAACCCAGTTTGCCTGGTGCATCAGAGTCTTGGCAGGAAAATGTGGGCTGTCTCTAACTGGGATGTGTAGAGACCTCTTAATAAGAGACTAGTTCCTGTTTATGAGCAGGAAACAGAGAAACTGCAAGGCAAGAAGGCAAGGACACTGTGTTGTAACCAGAGACAGTGAAAGCTGCAAAAGAGTAGCATCTAACAGAGCTATGGCCTACCATGCAAGGAGATAGCTGTGAAACACTTTGTCTAACTCTCTCACTCCACTGTCATCCTGCTAGGGGGCCCATTGGACCTTCTGACCAGAAACCAGAGGGCCAGGAAGCCACCTGATATGATGCTTATAGTTTCACCTCCCAGGACCCAGAGCAGCATACAGACTGGTGGACATTGGGCCCAGCACCCAAGAAGATGGTCTCCGTATACTCACTTTTTTTTTTTTAAGGAGAATGATATATGTAGTGCTCCATGATAGCTCAGAGCCTGCTTTTTTTTATTTGAAAGAGTTACACAGAGAGAAGAGAGGCAGAGAGAGAGAGAGAGAGAGCCCCTCCATCTGTTGGCTCACTCCCCAACCAGCCTCAATGGCTGAAGCTGTGCCAATACGAAGCCAGGAGCTTATTCCAGGTTTTCCACGTGGGTGCAGGGGTCCAAGGACTTGGGCCATTCTCCACTGCTTTCCCAGGCCACAGCAGAGAGCTGGATCAGAAGTAGAGAAGCCAGGTGATGAACCAGCTTCTTAGATGCCCACATGGGATGCTGGCACCTAAGGCCAGGGTGTTAACCCCCTGTGCCACAGCACTAGCCCCTCCATATACTCATATACACAGCCCTCTCCCTGGGTCAAATAAGTACTTTCACACTCTGGGTCAGCACTGTAGCATAGCAGGTAAAGCCACAGCCTACCATGCCGGCATCCCACATGGGCTCTGGTTCAAGTCCTAGGTGCTCCTCTTCTGATCCAGTTCTATGCTATAGCCCGGGAAAGATGGCCCAAGTGCTTGGGCCCCTGCACCCACATGAGAGACCTGGAAGAACTTCTGGCTCCTGGCTTCTAATCATTCCAGCTCCAGCTGTTGTGGCCATTTGGGGAGTGAACCAGCAGATGAGAGACCTTTCTCTCTGTCTCCTCCTTTCTCTATCTGTAACTCTACCTCTCAAATAAATAAGTAAATAAATCTTTTAAAAAATACTTTCATACTCATTCATTCAGTCAAGCCCCATGGTAAGAGATTTACAGGAAAATAAAAATCTCACATAAGTTAATGCCCTGCAAACTGTGAGAGAGCTGAGAATACTCCCTGCTTGAGGCATCAATTCAGCAGGGCTGTTTTCCTCTCTCCTTCCCTGGAGACGTGGGATGTCCATGGACATCCTCGGTGCAACACAAGGATTGCGAGGTGACTGGCTGCTTCTGACAGCACTCCAAGACAATGGCTCTTGTGGCCTCAGGCCCAAAAATTCTCTCCCAGTGTTATAATACAAGTTCAACTGCACAGCTTCCAGGCATCAAGTCCTAACCCCTGCTCCTGTGGTGCGTGGTGTTGACAGAATTATGGCCTCTTGCTCAGGGTTTCTGCAAATCCCCACAAGGGAACCAGTAGGATTACAAGTCAGAGAGCACTGTCTGCTTATGTGGGCTCCAGAGGACATTGCTGTAATATGAAATTGAAACTGCAAGTGTGTCCAACATAAGTTTTCCTAGCTCTTGGGGAAGAGTTTAAACTGTTACTGCAAAACAACACATGCATTACCAAACTATAATTTGCTTAGCCATCAGTATTTGCTCCATTCTATAAGAACCAAGGAGTAAACTCTTGCTGCCTCCCTGCAAGTAGTCATGGCTGACTTCACACTAAATATAAAAAAAATCACAATTTCCATTTCAAAATGAGCCTTATGGATAACTAAGTTCTTCACTGTGGTCTTAATTTATATAAACAACTCTTTTCAGAAAGAAAATGGAGGAAATACACACTTTTTACTATGATCTACAAAACTACACATTGGGTTCTTTGGTCTTCACAGTGACCAGGTAAAATAACAGGGAGATGCTATCATTGTCCCTATTTTAAATTGAGGTTAATTGACACTTTTCATCATCAGAGGGTCTGCAAAATCAATGCCTGACTTGGAACCTGGGTGTTAAAATATTGTCAGAAAATCTACACTGTTCTATGTTGAGTTTTATGAGACAAAACTAGAATCATACCAACACAGCATCTCTTTGGGACAGGAATGTCAACAAAGCCAACTTCACAAATAAATATTGAATTATTTCAGCAAATTTCTGCCTTCATCATTTACACCTGCTCATATCGTGCTACGAAAACACAATAAAGTGCTTCACACAAACTGAATATTTTGCATCCAACTCACTGAACATTCTGATATTTGAGAATAGCTTGTTGGGCCTCTATGATGATTATACCCATAGGGAGAATACATTTAAATGAAATAATGGAGTTATATTTATTCTTCACCTTTGTCATAGAATGACTTGCTACTAGGGCAGTTCAGTACGATTAGAGTTGTGCAGGGCCCTCTATGATGTGAACATCGACTTCTTCAGTATTGTTAGAACTTTCAACCCAAGAGTCCTAGAGAAATTCCAGGGTTTTCTCAGAATTTGAAAAATTAATTTCGGGGCCAGCGCTGTGGCTCACTTGGTTAATCCTCTGCCTGAGGCACCGGCATCCCATATGGCTGCTGGTTCTAGTCCCAGTTGCCCCTCTTCCAGTCCAGCTCTCTGCTGTGGCCCGGGAGTGCAGTGGAGGATGGCCCAAGTGCTTGGGCCCTGCACCCCATGGGAGACCAGGAGGAAGCACCTGGTTCTCGGCTTCAGATCAGTGCAGCGCACCGGCCATAGCAGCCATTTGAGGGGGTGAACCAATATAAGGAAGACCTTCCTCTCTGTATCTCTCTCTCTCTCTCACTGTCTAACTCTGCCTGTCAAAATAAAAAAAATTAATTTCGATACATAATAATGGATGAGACAATATGTGGCGGTATGACCTGCACATAATCTGCAACCAAACATCTATTAGATGGAAATGAATCTGAATAATTTCACTAGGGTTTTCTTGCAGGGTCATCATACCATTTTGTATTAACTCTGAAGAAGAGTAAAAAAGGTGATTTATTCCTCCTCTCCTTATGTCAAAAGGCAATCAAATTCACTACAATATAATGGATTGAGAAGGGAAAATATGTTTTGATAATAATAGAATACTAAAATGAAAAATAAAGGCAAAGAAATGTGTGTGCAAAGTATAAATTTAGCAGAGATAAATTTATCTTTCAAGTTTCCTTCTTACAAATTTATCAGACACTAAAATAGTCCTGAATTTATTAGTAAATGTGTAATTTGGTTAGCAAATGATTTAGAATGGAGAAAATGTATTCTTATAATTTTTCCTGAATGACGAGAGGTCAACAGGGAAATTGGCTCATTTTGTTACATGATGCATGTTTTGCACAAATCATGCTTCTATGGTCAATGCTAAATTCTTTTTCTTGGTCCTCTGTTTCCCTGGGGTGCAAAGCACATGCTGTAACTCAGCAAATATGTATATACATACACATATAGTACTATAACATTAAGTGACTCAGCGACATGAAACACAAGGACCACTGGTTCTGTCTCACTCTACCTGGGAAGGATTTAGACACGTGACTGTCCTATTTTTAATAACTCTCTCTTTTCTCCTTGTTGTCCAGACCTGCACTTTTTTTTTCCTTCCAGCGGCCTTTGTGGTACTGTGCTCTGTAGAGGTGAAATATCTGCATATACCCTTCAAAAATTTATTTCTCAACAATTTTCCATTGAAATGGGTTAGCTCATTAAGTAAGCTTTTTGCACTTTTCTCTCTCAGGGTTGTTTTTTTTTTTTAATTCAAGCTCTGTATCCTTTCACATTTTTGTTTTCTGTCTTGATATTTTTGGAATAGCTCCATTCCATTTCTAACTTCATCTGCTTGCTAAATAGGCCTATATTTTCTACTTGGAAGGAAAGAGCATGAGAAAAAAAATCAGCGGGAAATTGTGTCCTAGAGAATAAATAGGAGCAACTAATTAAAGTTATTGATTGTGTTAGAAATGTGTTCCTGAAAAATATTACAGTTTAACTGAGTGTCCAACAAGGGAGAATACCATGCATTTGCATTCTGATTCTTTTAGAATGGATCACTTTCCACTATATTCACTGATTGTGAAAGTTTATCACATTTAGAAAGTATGTTAAAAAATTGTTGACACATAGTAGGTCACACCTGAATATGGACACTCCTTTTTTCCCTTCCTCTCCCTCCTCCTCCTCCCCCATGACCATGAATATTCTACATCTCAGTAAATGATGCTGCATATATGCAGCCAGAATCCTGGACTCATCCTTGACATCTCCTACCTCTCTTCTCATCACCAGTCACCAAGAACTTTGTATGCCACTCCTTTAATATCTTTTGAGTTAGTCTAGTTTTCTCCATGTCCATTACTACCCTAAGTCCAGGGGGCCCACATTTTGACTTGACTGTGGTAACAACTGCATCCATAGCTGCCTTCCCACTTCCACGCTTTAGTGTTGGATTAAGCATAAATTCCTATATACCCCTCTGTCCTTACAATCTGTCAGTAGTCTTTGTACTCTCTCCTGTATGCCACTTGCTGTTTGAAAACAAACGGGGAAGCGTAGATAGAAGACTTGTACTTACTTCAGGAATTTGAAGTTAATTGAGTGACTATAAATTGGTGTAGTGAGGATAATCAGCCAGGAGAGAAGGAAGCCCTGTTCAGAATGAGGTGGATAGGACAGCATCAGGATGAGTTAGGAAGCCTAAATCCAGTGCTGCAAAGAAGAAAAAAGGATATCACTATGATGTCACTATAGACTCCAAAGTCCACACTGATATAGGATGGAGAACACCAAAGAGTACACCACAAAGAAAGAAAATGCAACAGGTGGATCATCTAATACTTACGACCTTGTGGGAAGGAGGGAGGAAGGATTAGTGATAGGTTTTTGTTTTCTTTTGTTTCTTTTTTTTTTTTTTAGAAACAGTAAAAGGAGGGATTCGTTAGCACCAGGAAATACACTATACAAACAAGCATACATAATTGTATAAATCATTATGTCTCAGATGTAAAGCTCTGAATAATGACTTAACCAAGAATTGTCCCTATCCATAGTAGGAAGACAGGGAGCTTCTATGAGAGAATTGTCTACACTACCTGCAAACCAACAGATAATGGTTAAATTAGAAAAAGTAAAAATTATATTTTAAATGTAGTATTCAAAAAATACAAAGGTAAATGTGGTACAGAAGACTACAAATAATTTTAAATGTTTTCCTGTGGAGGACTGTAGTTGGGAAGTGGTAAGAAAAAAATGATTTTTTGGGTTGGTTCCAGTCTTAGCTATTGTGAATTGAGCTGCAATAAACATTCATGTGCAGACAGCTTGTTTGTTTGCCAATTTCATTTCCTTTGGGTAAATTCCAAGGAGTGGTATGGCTGGGTTAGACTGGATAAAGAAATTATGGGACATGTACTCTATAGAATACTATAGAGCAGTCAAAAACAAGGAAATCCGGTCATTTGCAACAAGATGGAGGAATCTGGAAAACATTATGCTGAGTGAATTAAGCCAGTCCCAAAGGGACAAATATCCTATGTTCTCCCTGATCGACGACAACTAACTGAGCACCAAAAAGGAAACCTGTTGAAGTGAAATGGACACTATGAGAAACAGTGATTTGATCAGCTCTTGTCCTGACTGTTGATGTACAATGTAATACGTTATACATTTTAGTATTTTCTCTTTGTTTTATTCTAGTACTATTGGTTGAACTCTGTAATTAACACACAATTATTCTTAGGTGTTTAAATTTTAACTGAAAAGTGATCCCTGTTAAATATAAGAGTGGGAATAAGAGAGGGAGGAGATGTACAATTTGGGACATGCTCAATCGGACTTTCCCCAAATGGTGGAGTTAGAATCATGCCAGGGGATCCCAATACAATCCCATCAAGGTGGCATATACCAATGCCATCTCACTAGTCCAAGTGATCAATTTCAGTTCACAATTGATCACACTGATACGTCTAAGAGTCAAAGGGATCATACAAACAAGTCTAGTGTCTGCTAATACTAGCTGATAGAATCAAACAGGGAGAGAATGATCCATCACGGGAAGAGGGATACACAGTAGACTCATAGAATGGCAGATGTCCTAAATAGCACTCTGGCCTCAGAATCAGCCCTTAAGGCATTCGGATCTGGCTGAAGAGCCCATGAGAGTATTTCAGGCATGGAAAGCCAAGACACCCTGGAAAAAAAAAAAAGGAAGACCTAAATGGAAGATCTCTGCAAGTGAGATCCCAGTGGAAAGAACGGGGCCATCAAAGAAGGAGGTACCTTTCTCTGAAGGGAGGAGAGAACTTCCACTTTGACTATGACCCTGTCGGAATAAGATCGAAGTCGGCAAACTCAAAAGGCTTCCATAGCCTTGGCAACTCAAGACTAGAGCCTAGGGAGATTACTGACGCCATAAACAAGAGTATCAAATTGTTAAGTCAACAACAGGAGTCACTGTGTACTTACTTCTCATGTGGGATCTGTCCTTAGTGTGTTGTCCAATGTGAAGTAATGCTATAACTAGTACTGAAACAGTATTTTACACTTTGTGTTTCTGTGTGGGTGCAAACTGATGAAATCTTTACTTAATATATACTGAATTGACCTTCTGTATATAAAGATAATTGAAAATGAAAAAAAAGAAAAAAATGATTTTTACTAAATTTTGTAACACAATTTAATTTTTAAAAATTATTAACACATTATTTTAAATAAAATTTAACTAATATTTAAAATGATACAAATGTAAAATGTATAGCTAAAAAGTTAACCAAAGACAGTAATGTTAACATCAAGCAAAATGGGGTTTCAGTCAAAAATAGTATTAGAAAAATATTTCACTCAGTGATAAAAGGAGCAACTCACCAGGAATTTACTATGATCCTGTATCTGTATTCTTCTGAAAACATTGACTCAGAATGTAGACAGTAAATGTTGGTATAATCACATAAATAAATAAGATACCCACAAGCAAGTTGAAAGAGGCAAAGAATAGAGAAATGTATACACTAAGCTTATGACCCAGCAATTTTCCTCCTGGGTATTTACCCATAGGAAATGGTTTGAGTGCAATTACTTAGAGAATTTATCCCTATTAGCCAAAACTGGGGAAATGTCACTGTTCGTTCATCAACAGGTGAATGCATAAACAAATTGTGGTATACTTAAAAACAGAACGCTATGGAGCAATAAAAGGGAGGTAACTACTGACCCCTTTACATTAACGAACAGAAAACCTCATTCTGAATAACAGAGGCAAACCAAAAAGAACATGTACTATGTGATCTGTTTATTTAAGATGATGGAATGAACAAAACTAATCCATCATGACAGTGAGCGGATCATTGGTTTCTTGGAAATGTGACGAAGGTGGGGGAAGAGGGCATGACAGCCAAGGTGCACAAGGGCATTTTGATGGCTACAGCAGCATTCTATAGCTTGACTTGTCAAGATCCGCTGAACTACCCTATGATCGGCGATTGTATGTGTCAACATGACTGGATTATGGAATGCCCAGGTCGCTGGTTAAACATTTTTTCTGAATCATGTTTCTGGAAGATATTTGAATGTGTAGACTCCATAAGAGGATTGCCCTCCCGGATGTGGTTGAGCATTGTCCTAACTGTGGAGGGTCTGAACAGAGAAAAGAGCCAGAGGAAAGGGAAATAGTCTCCCTCTGCCCTGTGAGCTAAGGCAGTGATCAACCCATAGCACTCCTGCTTCTCAGGACTTGAAACTCCACAGGCATTTTCAGCAGTTGTTCTCAAGCTCTGAGAGATCTGATCATATCCCTATCCTTCCTGATGTCCAACTTGCAGAGGCCAGAGGTGGGGACTTCATAGCTCCCACAATCACATAAAGCTAATATTCTACAATAAATCTCTTTATATAGATGTTTATATGTGTATAAATAAATATTGGTTCTGTTTCATCTATTTTTCTGAATCCCTGATTAGCACTAACACATATACCTAAACACCTTGGTGCATATAAATTTTAGTTCAATTAAATTTGGCATTTAAAGTTTTAAAGAAAGCACATACAGTTTGTCTTTTAAAGAGCTTCCAGATTCAGGCCAGGGAACCAGAACCACATTTACTGGCTGTGAGGACTCTGACTTTATAAAGCCAGACAAACTTTTAGAAATTAAACAGAAAAGGTAAAGGTGCCAATAGAAAGGACTAGCAATCATTCCTCTTGGCATGGCAACAGGAGAGTAGCACTGGCATAAAACCCACCTTACTAGTCAGATGAGGTAGGAAAAGTGGTAGGAGCCAGTCAAGGCTACCAAGCAGTGCCTTTTGGCACCAAAAGCAAGAGCAAAATCCAATTAGTTTCTGAGGTTACAGCTGGAGGCCTCAGTGAATTAGTTATATTACAGTAATTAATATTCTCCCCCCTCAGCTTGAAGTTGATATATTCTGGGTAAAATGAAATGCATATCTATTTTGCAGTGTTGTAATGGAACCTGAATAGGATTCGAGATTTAACTGATTTTAACCTAAGTTCCTTATTTTAAAAAAATGAAAATATCAGTCCAGGTGATTTGCCCACTCTTATAATTCTAAGGCATAGTCTCTTCATTTAAAGTCTATGGATGATAATAATATCCACACTTATTACAACAAAAAATAAATATGAATGTGTTGATATTAAAAACTCAGGTAATCTGTTATTACTATAATAATATATTAATATTTCTATATAATATAATAATTCAGGAAAGTAGATGGAAACAAGATAACTATAAAATTTTAAGAAATCAACATTATACCCTATACTATGTACAGCAGGTTAGTAATTATAATAGGAAAAAATTACATTTAAATGAAGATAAGAAAAGCAACAGTTAAACAGCAGCAACCACAAAAGAAATTTTCCAAAATCTATAGATAGCCACAAATTTTCCAGAGAACCATACAAAAAGATTTGAAAAAAATGACCGTCATAGATATTCCTTGATGAAAATCCAAATTACTCTGATCTCACATCTCCTTTCAGCTGCCATCAGCCTTCTAATCTCTTCATAATCAAAACTTTTAGAGTTGCCAACGCTGTCCAACATCATTTCCTTATTTCCCATTATTCCTCACTTGACTACAATGCATCTTGTGCCTCCTAGGCCACCAAAACTGTTCTCTTCAAGGTCACCATCAACTTGCTTATTGCTAAAGCCAATGTCAATTTTAAAGTCACTATCTTTTCTGATATCTCAGGAGCATTTGATAACATCAGATTAATCTGCTTTCCTTAAAAAAAATGCTTCCAAGATGCCACACTCTCCTGTTCTTGTGCCTTCCCTCTAGTTTCTTGTCTTGTCTCATTTGGTGGATTCCTATCCTCTGTTTGTACCTTAAATATTGATGTTCCTTAGATGTGCTGCTATGTCCATTATTCAGATGCTACATAAGAGGCTATCTCCTCTCTTAGAGCTTAACTTACCCTTTAAATGCTGAGGACACACAAAATTATAACTCCAGCTCATCTCACTTTCATCCAGACTCCAAACGAGTAGAGTCAGTGATCTTTGGATGCACCACACACATATCAAACTCCACATGTACAAAAATTAGTACCACCCACCTTATCTGTATCCCTCTCTGTGAATGGAACCCACTTAAGTGGAACTGCCCCATGGGTCATCCCTGATTCCTCCACCTTTATTTTACAACTACCGGTTTCTGTCAATTTTACGTGATAAATAATTTCAA